TGCACCGACCCCCCCCCCCCCCGCATTACGTCACTGTTGGTCACCATTACGTACTAATATTTGGCTCGCATAATTTCAAATTTGGGCCCCCCCCCCCCCCTAAGAAATCCTGGATCCGCGCCTGGGAATAAATACATTTACATTCATATTTCAAAATTATAATTGCGACATATAATTACGGCAACACTTGTACAGTAAAATGAACTCTTAACGATTGAAAAAATCAAATTTACACTTTATCAGCACGATCATATGAATATCATGATACCAAGGAGATAATGATTGATATTACATAACATAATATGATCATGATCTAAATATGATATCTTTATGTTATTGCATTCATGTGATATCACCTGACTTAACATTGCACGAAATGATAACAAAATATTTATTATAAGATACGATATCATGTGATGCAAGAATATAATGTTTTTCATGAAAAGAAACGATGTGATATAGTATTGATGTGACAAGGTATGATTATGATAAAAAAAAACAATATGTTATTACTATGAGAATATAAACTGTCGCTCATAACGTTGGAATATTTACCCCAATTTAGGGAATTATTTTGACAATGATTTATTCCTAAAAGATCTAGATAATAGTATACATTCTCAGATATTATTGAATAATGATTTGCCAGTGTTTGTTTTGCGTGACTGCCAAAGCATGTGTATGCTAATATGCTTATCAACTATGGGACCTACGCCCTGGCCTGAAGTCATGAATGACAGTAATGAGGATTAATGCCCCACAAAAGGGCACTAATATGGCACATCGACACGGTTTTGATCCTGGGGCCTCACAGTTACGAGGCCATTGCTTTGCCACTGAACCATGAATGTACGCAGCGGGGGCTAGGGTAGGGGGCAGTTCCCACAAATAAAAAAAAATAACAAAATGCAATAAATTATCAATAATTCATTGCATTTTACCCCGGTCCCCAACATGAAAAAAAATCCTCTGTACGGCCATACATTATGGCTCAAGGCATGGGCACATGTCAGGGCCCGAGGAACGGCGGGGCTTGGGGGCTCAAGCCACCCCCTCACTAGAAAAAAGTATGTGTAAGATATTAAAATAGAAAGAAAGGAAGAAAGAAAAATTGTGACCTGCCAGTGCCACAAAATTAATGAGGTATCAAAATATGCCCATCTGGCCGCAATTAAATCATCTGACCATTATTAAATGCCTAAAACCCTGAGCTTCATGGGGCTCAGTCCCCTGGACCCTGGGCTAATTAGTGATAAGGTATAAATAAGGTATCAAAATATGCTCATCTGACCGTAATTAAATTCCTAAACTGAACTCCTGAGCTTCCGATGGGTCTGCCCTTGACCCCCCGCTGCGGCTTTTTCCTCTGGACCCCAAGCAAAGCAAAGATATAAAGAAAGTGTTAAAATATTTTGACAGTCATGAAACACATATAGAGCACCACAAGTTAATTGTTCTGGATTTCCAAATAAAAGGAAGTTCACATTGCAATATTGGTTGTAGCGAACAACTCGGCACGATCGTATTTTTAAGCGAACCGTTAGTGATGAAGTCATTCATGAATGTAAATATGTAAAGATACAAAGAAAGTGTTAAAAATATTTTTACAGTCATGAAACACAGATATAACACCACAAGAGTTTAATTGTTCTGGATTTCCAAAAAAAATGGAAGCTCTCATGTAATCATGGTTGTAGCTAGAGCTGTTTCTTTATTTACTCCACAGGGATTCAAATTTCATTTCTTGCAGTTAATGCGGGGTACAGCCTCTCTTTCCCCGCAAATTTAAAAATTACAACCTGACCAAATATGCATTTGTTTTATGTCTTATCTCGCGTATTTTGGGGATAAATAACACTTTCACAACATACATAATGCTCAATTTTTCGCTCGCTCGCTCGTTCGCGAAATTGTGAACCCAGAAAATTAATATTTTAACAAGTGGATTCAGCCCCCCCCCCCCCCCCCCCCTGATGAAAATGTTAAAAAAATTGCTCGCACATAACTTAAACTTGGGTGGGGAATGTTGATATCGGACAAGAGAAAAAAAAAATTGTACCCGCTTGTATGTACCGGTACAGTGCTTTTGAAATAACCTTGTCAGTATTGGTAAGTCGAGTTGAAATAACGGTCTGCGCGATTTTCAAATATCCGGCCCCCCCCCCCCCTATTGGAAAATCCTGGATCCGCGACTGCATGCCATATTTAGAATATGATGGCATTTGAAGAGCCATGCTTTTCAGGGAACATGATTTATCTGATGCTCTTCCACACTTGCGTAATACTAATAACAATGATAACACTGACAAATTATTTCCACCTCTTCCCAAAACTAGTGAAAAGGATGTATAATGTAAAGCCAACAACGACCTCATTCACGGTCTAATTATTTTTTCGCAAGTTTGACGGTCCGTGCCGGGGGATAAAGGAATAAAATTACAATGTAGTTTTCGATGTCGGAACCCGATGATGACGAGCCTTAACTAATCGATGCTTGCCATCATGGATTCGGCACATGAGCAATGCATTGAATTTGCAACTTGCAAAAATAATAGCAAACGAGCTGCCGTAAAGCTATTTCACACTATAATTGCGCATCAAGTGAAATCTTTAAAGGCAATACAAAGTTTTGGGAAATTTAGAAAATTAGGTGGATAGCGATTCTTTACAATTTTGATACATTTGGATGGCCCTGTGGATGTATCATAAGCACTAGAAAATTTAGCCCCTAAAACACTTCTGCTTTCGAGAAAAATGTAATATGAAATATATACATTTTGATAAATTTCAAATAGCGCCTACGGCCGTACAATGGGAACTGCCACCATGAAAATCTCAGAATATGTAGTTGTGATATATAATTTCCAAACGGGAATTTTAGTCAAGAAATATTGTTTTATAGCTCAATTAATATCTTTACCTTGAGAGGGAGCGATACAACATAAAGAGTTTATTATTTTCAATTTCATAACTTTAGACTCGATTTCAACCGCGACAACGATCACTGAATATTGTAGGATCGCATAATGCTTCCAATATGTTCATTTGGACCAAAATCATGACCCCATACCAAAATTGTGCATTACCTTTAACACACTTTAACATCTTTAACATTGCAGACTTGTCAGTGAAATCGATGGTACAATTTCGCATAATATAATTTTTTTAGAGAATGCAAAATTTCAGCGTCATAATTAAGAACCTGGTCTTAGTCCGCTCTATATATCGCCGCCATTCCTGCAGCTGCCCTACCCTTGCAAATTACAATAACCATGGACCATGCGATAACACCCCACCAGTGCAATACGTACGATGTGTGGTCAAGTGGTCAATGGGAAAAAAGTATATAACTGAGCCACTATGGACCCACCCTACGGAACAAAATGTAATATTAAATGTTTGTAACGCCCCGCCATCGATTCATTCAAATCACTTCTGAAGACATTTAGGTTCGTCCAATAGTCTGTTAATAGGCCATTTTCGTAATGTAACCAAATTTAATGCATAAGTCTTTGTGAAGTGCCTCAATACAAATTATTTCATTCACCTGATAGGAATAATAGTATTTCCATAGTCAGAATGCAACTGCATAATATTAAGTGTTGCTAGGTAGGTCAAGCCATCATGTTGTCCCACCTGGCAACAATTAATGTATGCATTTCGGATTTTGTCTATTGAAATACTATTATTCTTATCAGGTGAATGAAATAATCTGTATTTAGGCACTTCACAAAGACTTATTAATTGAATTTGGTTACATTACGAAAATGGCCTATTATATGACTAGTTTATGTCAAATAATGTTATTTCGTTACTACAATGAAATCGTAATTAAACAACTATTATAATTGTGTTCAATCATAAGTTTATACCATTATATCTGAATTTTTTTTCATCATTGTATATGATATGTACTTTTGTTAAATTATGCATATTTAAATCTTCAGATTAATCATGTAATATATTGTACAATAAATTGTTGTAAAGCGCATAGAGAATTTATTATAATGTGCTATATAAAAATGACTTCATTAGCATTATTATTATGATTATGTATATCTCAGTCATCTTGATCGCACTCTCTCTCTCTCTCTCTCTTACCTTATTTTTATTTGACTTGTATTTAATTGTTACTTTGATACTGTGCTATTACTGCTAGCTCCAGCATCATTCCACATTCCATAAACTTTGATAATGATATATTTTGTTAATGCTATTTGCTATGTATTGGATTAATTTAATTCCAAGAAACATAATGCTAATCGACGAATATAAAGAATATCAAAAATAATTTCCGTTTCAAGGGTTCTCCTCATTGCTTGTGGTTAAAAAGAGTGTTCCTAATTCGAGGTATTGAATGAAATGAATGGAAAAAATAAATTTACACTGTTGCTCTCAAAATTTGAACATTTTTTCTTAGTTCTTTTCATGAAATGATTTTTAACAATATGGTCTATTCTTCTTTATTTATCAATCTCTACGAGTATATAGATTATTCATATTCTCATAATGTTCTGAGAAGATATAATCTGAGATGCATGGCCCTACGTGATATCACTGTCTGCGATATGGTGTAATAATGAAGCCCCAAAGAAATTGCGCTTCAAAATGATCATGAAGTGCCTCAAAAATGGTTTTACCATGCATACTCATTTTCCCCAAAAGACTGTAGTGTTTAAAAAAAACGTTGGGAAAACGCAAAATTTGATTTAATTCGATTTCCAATCATAAATATCTTGATGATCAGACAGGCGATCGGCTTGTAAAAGTGTAAAAGTCATGGGATTCCTGATATGACTGACGTAAAGGTTTATAGTTATGATTGCAGCATGAGCTAAGTCCAGGATTTAGTTTCAGAATCTGAGGCAATGTTACCGAGTCACTTTAAGAAGAAATCATATTTTAACGGCCACTTCGTGAAAAGAGGTAAACAAAATGTAGCTTTAGGGCCAACAGTGTACCATCTACCTATAGGTCATCATTGAATCTGAGCGACTTACCCAATCCCCGTCTTTGAATGTTGTCAAAAGGAATGTCTCCGATCTTCTCCTTTCAGATATATAAATGCAGTAGAACAAAACGAGAAAGATGGTGACACATAGAGAAATATAAAATCCCATCCTGAAGTTTGTGCAGGTACAGTTTTTCTGCGCCATACTTTCAACCATACTATACATATAGGACTATGCATAAACTAATATAGGAAGTCCTGTGTGGTCAGTCCGCAGCTAGAGAATGGCCAGAGGACGCCTTCAAGCTCACGATACAGGGAGAAATGTGTTACGCAACTGAAAAAACACCGACTCTAAGCTCGAAGGTTATGCGCAGATAAGCGTGTGTTTGTGTGTGTGTGCGTGCATGTGTGCGCTGTGTGTATGGATAGATTTGGTTTTGTTGGTGATAATTTATGTTCGTTTTGTAAGCAGGAAATAGAAACATACAAACATTTATTTTTATCTTGTGGGAGCGTTCAAAGGTTATGGCAGGCTTTAATACAACTTTTTGAGTTAGATGAAATTAAAGATTTAGAATGGCGAGATATATTTGTTGGGTTGGTAGGTAGTTCATATAGAATAAAAATGAGTAATACTATCATTTTCATGGTGAAGTATGTTACATTTATGTCAAGATCGGGGGGGGGGGGGGCGAGTACTAACTTTAGAAAAGATGAAAAAAAGCATTTTAAGTATAGGGATGAGGAAAAGAAAATAGCAATTAAAATGGGAAATTAAGCTAGGATCACATTTCTTAAAGTGGGAGCAGCTTAAGATTAATTAAGATTTGCTTTCTTCTCCACCGTGAGCTTGTTAAAAGCGTAACTCGATTTTGCGGCCTGGATAACTTATTTAGTATATTTTTCTTAAGTTGAGAATGTTGGCAGACATCCACTGAGTGAGTACTGTGTGTGTGGGGGGGGGGGGGGGTGGGTGGGTGGGTGAGTATGTGTGTGAGTGGGTGAGTATATGTTTGTGTGATAGAGGGTGAGTATGTCTGTGTGATGGAGGGGGCAGGGAGGGGGCAGGATTGTTTCAGTAAAATTATCTCCAGATTTGTTTTTTTTTGTAATATATAAGTAAATAACATTTACAATTGACATATTATGTTTAGGTACTTATACGTTTACTTTGTTGCTAAGTTATATTATACTGCAAATAAGTTTGTGTTTAATTATGTTTATGTCAAAGCATCAATATTGAACACGTTTATTTTATTCAATTGTATGTCATGGTTTGTATTACACATCTGGAGAAATAAAACAAAATTGTTAAAAAAAAAAAAAAAAAAGTATGGTGGTGTGTGCGCGCGTGTGTGTGTGTGTGTGTGCGTGTGCGTGTGTGTGTGTGTGTGTGATATATGTCTGGGGACTTGTTGCTGTTGTTTTTGTTTTATTGGCGTGTATCATTCATTTATGAATCTTTACGCCGAATTTTGGCATGTTTACCCTCGGTGTATATGCCGAGAAGTACATTATGTTTTAGCGTCAGTCGTTACAATTTAAAAGGAGCCCCAGGTCAACTAGCTGAATGTTCATACATTTAATATGAATATATATAAATACATATAACATGTAGGCCTAATCAATTGCACACTCGATTTCTATCCATTTCTGTAATCATTAAAGATAAACTTTAGTACTGGTAATGCGATTGCATTGTGAAAGAAAAGGTGTGGAAAGGATCAGAAACAGTTGATCATGTAGCATGTAAGTATTGGTGTGCACTGCAAGGTTCTGGAGTCATCAGAATCATAATAAATTTGACAGAGTCTTGGTAAAGTAACAAGCACTGTACACAGAAAGCTATATATGGGACAACACACATGGTGTCGGGGCTGGTACTACCTTGATTTCCTAGTCTTTCTATGCTCATTACTCAGCCAGTATACATTTTCTTCCAAAATATTTGGCACATGTCATTTATTTGTAATCTTGAACATTCAGTGTATAAGTTTCGTTTGATTCTGTGAGAATTGATTTCTTTTTTTTTACCAGAACTCAAGTTTATCTTTAATAGTGAATTATTCAAAATCATTTCATCTTTTTTGTCTACCTCACAGGCATGCATACCCTTTCAAGCTAGACGTTCCATGTATAGATCAGTTCGTGTATGTTGATCAGGGGCGGCGATCCCGGGGGCGGGGGCTCTTCCCCGGCCTCAATTTTTGTTAGGGGGGATCGTCCACCCCCGGAAAATTTGAAAAAGTTTAAAAAAAAGAATGTATAGCAAATACTGACTGTATACCAGTGGCGGATCCGGGGGGGGGGGGCTCTCCTGTGAGAAAAAAAGAGTAAAAAACAGGTAAATTTTACCCTTTTTTGGAGATGGGCCCCTCCCATGGCGCTCAAAGAAGGGGGGGGGGGGTACGATTTTTTAAAATTTTCGAGAGCCAAAAAAAGACAATTAGTGCTCACTATTGCTCACACCCAGCGCTCAAAATACACGGGGGCGGTGGGCGATTCGCCCCCGTAAGCTACAAAATCGCCCCCGTCAGGTTGCTCACGGGGGCGATTGCAATATTAAAAATCGCCCCGGTGGAATTATAAAATAAAGATAATCTTTTCTGTTATAACTTTAACACAATATTGAGTTTCAATTTTCAAACCTTAAACCAATGAAATGGAACTAAGATTAGTGTGCATGATTTCTCGTTTTATGAGTAGGCCTATTATTACCGATTCAGCTCGCAGTGCAGTGCCGCCGTCAGCAGTGGTTATAGGCCTACTGCGCCGTGAGTAGCGGTGCGTGTGCACGCTGCCGCGCCATGTCTGCTGGAGCTGGAGGCGATCGGGCAAGGGCAGAAACATGGTCATGGCCTGGAGAAGTTTTTCGTTGTCAGCAAATAATGAACCTCGACCAGTAAATCAATATCAGGGACTTTTAGATTTGCACGATGAGAACGTGGACTGCAACGTGTGACCTCCTTTTAAGGCACTGCCAGTGCTTAAAAGGATGTCACATGTGATTGCCAGCTAGTGCCTTAAAAGGACGTAACACGTCCACGTCCACGTCCACGTCCACGCAAATATAAAAGTCCCTTTTGTGGAGAAGAGGAAGACCAAAATGTCGTGAAATCAGGGGCGGCGATTTCTGTTAATGACCGGGGGGACGAAATGCGATTTTTTTTTTACGAGGATGTTATGCGAGGGAGCGTAGCGACCGAGCGAGATTTTCTTTGCAATTTTATTAGTCTAAACGCTGCACTCTTGGGCCTTCCAGAGCCTAAAAGTGTGTTGCAGTCATTATTCAGTATATGCTATACAATTTGTTTTGCACTTTTTCATATTTCCAGGGGGGACGATCCCCCCTAAAAAATTGAGGGGGGGGGGGACGTGTCCCCCCCCCCGTCCCCCCGGGATCGCCGTCCCTGCGTGGAATGATAAGGTTACATGGGCAGATCTACGGCGGGGGGGGGGGGGGGGGGGGGTAGGGGTTTAACCCCCTCCTCCCACCCCCCCCCCCCCGGCCCCTTGGGCTGCCAAGTGAAAATGTGATATTAAAGCGGGGGGGGGGGAGGGGGATTCTGGAGAGGAGGACTACTAATCTATTTTATTTTTTCAGAAGGCGGGGGGAAGTGAAGCGCCGTTTTAGCATGACTTTTCTTTAACTCTTACTTTCACCTATCTCAGATAACCCTAAGTTTTTGGTTGCTGCTTTATATGTAGTTGATAATGCATGATTAAAATAAAGAGAGAGAGAGAGAGAGAGAACCACCATCATTTTGCAATGGTTCAGGGTTCGTTTAATGTACATTTGAAACCATTTCTTAGCGTCTCAACCCTAAAAAAATAGCAAAACTATTTTGAGGAAAAGCATTATACTGAATTAAATAAAGAATAAAAGCTTTATATTGGATCATACTAATACTGATACGGGCTAAAGACAATGTGGTATTTGTATAGAGGTATTCCAAAATGACATTCTGATAATCAACATTTGTTCTGGTATCATATGTATATACGCATAATACAACTGATCTTTATGATTTCTTAAAGTGACATAGCTTCTTCTCCCTCTGCAAACAAAACAGAAAACAAGGTTATTTAATAAAAGGACCATGCGAAAAATAATCATTGTGATTCAAATTGATGCAAGGATTTTTTTTGAATAAGCAATGCTTTTCACCAGAATCTTCTATGTAAAAACGACTTTTACAAATCTCAGCCATGCAATTCTGCCACTGTGCTGTAAGATCACTTTGAGATTAGGAGAAGTGTATTATGTAATGGGTATTTTAAATTGAATGGAACGTCTCAACTCAGTAAGCATGGCTGAGATTTGTAAAAGTTGTTTTTACAAAGAAGATTCGGGTGAATAGCAGTGCTCATTCAAACAAATATTCGCATCAATTTGAATCACAATCATTATTTGTCGCTTAATCCCTTTTAATGACCATGTTTTCTTTTTCGTTTGCAAGGGGAGAAGAAGATATGTCACGTTAAAGACATCATAAAGATCAGTGTTGTATGCGTATATATTATATACACAGGCCAGTAACAGCTATGTAGCTTGTAAATTTGTAAGGAAAATGCTGATTGAAATGATAATGATGAAATAGCAAATAATTGAGGAGTATCATAGGTACCAATTCAATGGATATTGGTATAAAAAAGAGCCCCCGTCAGTAATAAAAGAGCCCCCGTGAAAAGGCTCACGGGGGCTCTTTTTTCGGGGGAAGAGCCCCCGTGGACAAAAAATTAATTTGAGCCCTGCTCACACCATTTTTTCTTCAAAATGGCCGCTTCAATATACCCATTTTTCAAGATGGCCGCAGGTATTTTTTTATTTTTTTAAAATCAGAAGTATATCATTTTAGCAGTAGGCCCATGAGGCGGCCTCCGAAAAGGAAGCGGGCGGGGACGCTTAAACATGTATATTTGTTAATGGCATAATGATAATGATAAAAATAAAATTGATGATAATGATGGAAATAGTGATAACTAGAAATGCAATCGTGTCACAACGATATGCGTGCAATCAGGCGCGGATCCACGGGCTGATTTTACCGGCTCAGCCCGCCTCCCCCCTCTCCCCTAGCCTCCCAAATCCGGTTAAAAAAATAGGATAGTAACGTAAATTTAACCTTTTAAAAAAGCAAAAAGTTGTAAAAGTTGTTTTTACAAAGAATATTCTGGTGAAAAGCATTGCTTATTAAAAAAAAAAACTTTGCATCCATTTGAATCACAATGATTATTTGTCGCATGATCCTTTTTATTAAATAAATTTGTTATCTTTTT